GGCTCCATCCCCAAAGGGGGGGAAATAGAGAGGGGGAGGACGTGTAGGAGGAAGCTGATCAATGTTTCTGTCTCCCTCTTTTCCTCTCTTTCTAAAAATCAATAAACATGCCCTAGCCTAGCCATTTGGCTCACTGGATGGAGCGTCGGCCTGGAGACTGAGGGGTCTCAGGTTCGATTCCGGTCAAGGGCATGTACCTTGGTTGCGGGCACATCCCTAGTGGGGGGTGTGTGGGAGGCAGCTGATCGATGTTTCCCTCTCATGGATGTTTCTAACTCTCTATCCCTCTCCCTTCCTCTCTGTAAAAAAGCAATAAAATATATTTAAAAAAAAAAATCAATAAACACTTTTTTTTTCTTAAATAGGGGTAGGGGAAGGAAGAAAGAGTGGATGAGGGAAAGGCCTTCTAACATCCACTCCAAACTAACGATCTATTTGATAAGTCGACCAACACTTGAATACAATTTTACCGCATAGCCACAAAGAAAAAGCTTTAAGCCAAATTAACCTCTCAGTGTTTGAGGTTCTGCCTTCAAGAGCAAAATGCTGTTTCAAGGAGAAAGTAGAGCTAAGAAAGTAGAGTCCTAGAGCTTCTACTCCCACTCAAGTCAAAGGAAGTGTCCTGTTTATCACTCTGTCAATAAGATGACCAGAGAGAAAAAGCAAATCCGCACCAAGCAACCTAGTGCCTCTTGGATCTACAGGGATTGTGTAACCAGGGTGCTTTTCGGTTCTTATTAAACTACTTATATATGCCTACAGCCCCCACCTGTGAGAGGAATACTCTATGCACTTGGGGAAAGAGTACATAACACCTGTTAAAACCTGTGTTGAAAGCACTAACCTTATTCTTGTGTTTTTTTGTTTTGTTTTTTAATCCTCACCCAAGAATGTTTTTTTTCCATTGATTTTTAGAAAGAGTGGAAGAGAGAGGGAAAGACAGAGAGAAATATGGATGTGAGAGAAACACATCGACTGGCTGTCTCCTGCATGTGCCCCATCCAGGGCCCCAGGGCCTGGGCTGGGGAGGAGTCTGTAACCGAGTTACATGCCCTTGATGGGAATCGAATGTGGGACCCTTTGGTCCACAGCCAGATGCTCTATCCACTGAGCCAAACCAGCTACAACTATTCTTGTTTTCTAGCTCAAAAGGATTCAGCATCTCCCCCACCCCCACGCCTAGGTGCTGACTCTGCCTCCATTCCAGGGTAAAATAGCACTTAATACTGACAGAAACTGGAAGAACAGTTTGGTATATGACTATTTCTGGTTTCGTCACTAATTTTTTTATTATGTTTTCACTTGGTTACAATCAAAGTTATTATAATGTGCAAGTTGCCAGTATTTCAGAAAATTAATTGCAGTTTTCTGTTACTATATTGTGCCTTGTTCCAATTAGAAAATGAAAGCAGAGAGGGAACACAAGCAGTTTATAGTGTTTTGAGAATTTAGCAAAACTTTAGCTCAGCAATTCCTAAATGCCTAACTAAAAAACAAAACAGAAATGAACAAAAAGCCCTCCCTGGCTCAACTGTAAGTGAGTCAAACAGAAAGTAAGACCCTGCCTACCTGGTCTGCAGGAGTTTCGAATGGACAGAGGGGTGGGGGGGGAAAGTATGTGCCTTGTCTTATTCTTCCTGACTTTCCAATCATACTCAAATTGGGAAGACTAACTTCAGTAAGCAGAGAAGGGAAACAGCAATAGACACGAGAGCCTAGAAACAGGATAAAAATTAAAATGACTCAACAGAGGAAGAAAAGAATCCAGCACAGAGATATTCAAGGCCGAACTCTGGAAAGCAACAACAGCTGAGAAAAGATGGGAGGTGAAGCACGGGCAGCCAAAAAGCTATGAGTTTGGTAGGAAATGGGACATAAGTGCCACGGTGCCTGCAACAAAATTAGCCAAAGGTGGTATCAAAGCACCACACACAAAACTGCAAAAAGTAAACCTGAGACTGTGTCTCTGCCTTGAAGAGGCTGAGGGCAGAAACCTAAAATGAAGATAGTAGTCATTAAGAACAGCAGTTCTCAAACTCAAAAGTGCATTATCAGGATCATCTGGAAAGCTTGTTTTACAAATACAAATTCCTGGGTCCCTCCCGCCCCATTCTTACTGATTTTAAGTCTGAAGTGGTGCCTGTGCTTTAACAAGGACTCCACGTATTCTAATGAAGGTGGTCCAAGTAGCACAGTTCACAAAAGCACTGACCCAGGAGTCTGAAGAACTGCTTAGAATAAATGTGCCAAGACTAATAGTGACTAGCAATTCATTTTCAGAAGAGGTTTCACTTGGGATTGCGTAACAGATCATCTCTTGTCGGAGAGATGTCACTTAGTGGGGATTACAATAAGTCAGTGCTCTGGAGGGCCTTCTCTCGGGAATGTCTGTGGCCCAATAAGCTCACCTTTCTGAACATATTACCACAGTGAATTCCAAGAGGCAACACCAAAGAGGAGAATTCTGGGTAGAGAAGCTCTAAGACAAGCCCATTACCCACAAAAGCATTCCTTCAAGGACAGAGCTAGACATTACAGATGGAGACACCCACCTATACTTACCGGTGCAAAGAGGGAGATGCTCTACTGTCCCATTAAACCCTTGCTCCCTGTTCTCAGGCAAAACTGCACTTCTTGCCTTAAATGGTGGTACAGCACAGCTATCCCAAAAAGCTGGTGTCTTCCCTTCCACCAGTGAACGAATTCAGGGATATTTGCTGAGTGCTTTGGTGCCTTTGGACGTTAAGGGGCAACCAAGACCTGGAAAACCAGAAACCTTTCTGTCGCATGGGGCTTTCACAGTCAGACTGGTGGACAGGTGACTAAAACCTTGTTGGGAAGCCTGGATCCTGTCTCTTGAGTGAGAGGAACACATCCCAAATGGGAGCTTTCTAGTTACTTCAGCGCCCTCTCCTAAGCAGCAGATGGTGCCTATTGAGAATCAAGAAAGCCTCGCTGGGAGGCCTGAAAAATAGCTCTTGTCACGAGGCGCGCAGCAGCTGGCTAGTTGCCTTGAGCCCCTTAGCAGGACAGCAGTGAATTACCGCATCGCCTCAGCAGACTTCTCCAACTGCGCTCCCTGAGCTGCCAGCTCCATATGTGACAACATCTTGGCTCCCACCCTGTAACTGCTTGCCCTTAGCCAGGAGTTGGGCAAGAGCCCTGGCTTCCGGAAGAGACTGGAGCTGTCCATTAGTGTTGACGAAATCAGATCCTGTCTCTTGATGATTATAAACAATTATTCCCTAATTAGGCAGGGTTAGAAGAACAGCTGTGAGGACCAGGATTCTAGGTGGTAAAAAGCAGACACCAGGTACTTTGACCATCCAAATGTTTAAGATAAGCAAAATAAGAACATTTAAACTAAAATTCAACTCCATCCTCAAATATCTAGATAAGAAAATAAACTTGATGAAGTCCTCTCCTGATCACTCCATGTCAAATATTTCTGTTTATATGGAATCCAAGAATCAGAACTCTCCTGTCATGATGCCAAGAGTAGATACTATTCTTGACTCTCTTTCATTCCTTGTTCCTCCTAAATGTCAGGTTCCCTATTAGGTACGCAGACTACATAAAGATAAAACAGACAAGTTGTCTGTTCTCAAGGAGTACACAGCCCGAGAGCAGAGCAACATGGAAACAAGTAACTGCAATGTGGTGTGATGAGTTACCATGAGTGTGTCTACTAGGTACGGTGGTGGGAAAAGGAGTGATCAATTCTGTTTAGGAAGGTTCCACAGAAGGGCAAGAGCTTGTGGGCAGTTGGATTTGAGGGAAAAGAGAGCATTCCAGGTAAAGGCACACTAGCAAGAAAGAGCCTTATTAAATTCAGGTGCTTGGAAAGGGGCTCAACAGAAGGTCCCTACAGGACCCAGGAGGGAGAAGAGAGAGGATGGAGACAAGAATGGAGGCCACCGCACCATATAATGGATCTAATCTCTAGTTTTTTCTTTAAAACAAATGCTTCCCATTCCAGGCATTTGTATGCATTGCACTAAATGAGGGGCCCTGGGGGATATGTCCCTATGGAGCTTATACTAAACCTAACTGGGTGGATTAAACATACACACCACACAAAAAAACACATAAACACGCGCATAACAGAGCTTAAATAGCATTTAGTTAGAGAACTGTTCAAATGCTTGACTCCCCTTGACAAAACCCTAGTCAAATGAGCCACTATGGGATGTGGAAGCTCAGTTAGAAACTAGTCTAGTTGAGTCCAGAAGGCTTTTATGGTAATAAAAGGGATCCAACTCCGACAAGAAAGGGTCCTAAATAGGACCTTCCTCTGCTACTGACATGGCAGGGCAGTTAAGAGTATAGCAGCTGCCCAAAGTCCTCATCATGATTACTATCCACAGCAAAGAACATTTCATAGGTGTATTTTTATAGCTTGATTTCTAAAAAAAAGAGTTTTATGTAGGCTAAATCTATCATTGGGATCTTTATGTATCTCCACTAAAGGTCTCATGTGGAGGTAAGGGCGTATTCAGTTTGGTCTTTAACCAGAAATGCTTTCCGGCCTCTGGGGAACCCAGCCCATGAGCTAGGCCCGCAGTGATGGCAAACCTTTTGAGCTCAGCGTGTCAGCATTTTGAAAAACCCTAACTTAACTCTGGTGCCGTGTCACATATAGAAATTTTTTGATATTTGCAACCATAGTAAAACAAAGATGTATATTTTTGATATTTTATTTTGTATATTTAAATGCCATTTAACAAAAATCAACCAAAAAAATGAGTTCGTGTGTCACCTCTGATACGCGTGTCATAGGTTCGCCATCACTGAGCTAGGGTGTGAGAAAGCTCCTGCCCTTTAATATTCCACAGCTTCCAAAGGTAAAGCCTGATGGTCATGCACAGAGTGACTGTAGCCTTTCCTTATGCCTTAGGAGCATATCTGGTCCTGGCTCGGAGATCACCCCGTTGTCCTTCATTCCCCTGCCAACCCTAGGAGAGCTGCCATACAGCAGAAGCACAAGCAATGACACTCACCCGCATGGAGGTCTCGCCACCATGGGCCTGTTGCAGCCTGAAGACCTGGGCCACCATGTGCTCTGTGGAGGGGTGCAGCAGGATCCTTCGTGAGGCCAAGCCCACCATTACGTACCGGCCCATTGGGGACAGGCTCACCGAAATGGCATTGGGACCTGAGGGCCAAGAGAAGAGAGAACCATTTCCCAGAGTTCTTGCTATTACAAGGAAATAATTTTTTCCTCTTAATCTTTTCTCTTTCTCTCCAGCCTCCATCTTCATTTGGTCATTGTGGGGTTAACACATAGGACTGCAGTGAGTAGTATAATGCAAAGTACCGAGTATAGTGTCTGACATATAGAAAGTACTTAATAGATGTTAACCACTGTATGGAACCCATAACAGATTCACATTTTAAAAAATTGGTAACATACTGTAAATACTATTTTGAAATCTACTTTTTACACTTCACACATTATGAACATTTTACATAATTAAATATTCTGTAAGAACATTTTAAAGGCCGAATGGTATTCTGTCCTATCAATGCACATCATTTATTTAAGCAACTCTTCCCAATTTCACATTTTTTCTATGATAAATAATAGTACTGTGGATATTGTTGCATATAAAGCTTTGTACAGTTTTCTTATTATTTCCTTAGCAGTGAAATTACTGGATCAAAGAGAAAATACATTTTGGGGGCTTTTAATACATAATGCCAAAATGCCTTATAGTTTATGAGTGTGCCCACTTCCCAAGCCAAAGTCCCTCCCTTACTCCTGGCCATCACAATAGGAACAACACATCACTGATGCTATTGTGGTAGGGAGGCCTCTTATTCTGAGATTCTTTGGCAATGCTTCCAGGCGGGACTCCTGCAAAGCAATCTTCCTCTGGTCTGTGCCCAGTGAAGACCATTACTCCCACCTCAACCATGCCTCCCCTAGGAATGCTCATTTCAAGGTACCATCTGCCAAGCATCCCTCTGCCACTAGGTTGGGCTCCCTATCCCTTACCAAATCGCTTGGTGTAGAGCATTTCACCCAAGTTGTGGGGGGCCAGGGAGTACACTGCCAGGATGCCTTCATCGGGAAAGCCCCTTTGGCTGCTAGGGATGAAAGCTGCCAGGAGTTGGCCATCTGCAGAAATGTCACAGCTGGCATCATTGTAGATCTTGCAGTTCTGTACCAGCACATTCACGGAGGCTGCATCAAAGAAAGAAAAGAGGGTAAAAATGTCTGTAGTTGATGGGATGAAAATTCTGGGCCAAGCCCTGGCCGGTGTGGCTCAGATGGTTGAGGTCGCTGGTCAGGACACATGCCTGGGTTGTGGACTCGATCCCCAGTAGGGGGCTTGCAGGAGGCAGCCCATTTGTGTTTCTTTCTCACACAGATGTTTCTCTCTCCCCCCACCCTTATTCTCTAAAATCAATAAAAACATATTTTAAAAATATTTCTGGTCCAAGTAATTTGGGGGCCTTTGGAAGGGCCTGAGCCCTCTCTATAGATGCTAAAGGCTGCTTAATCAAATTCAAATGTCATTAACAAGTAACACTAGAGACAGGAAAGAGATGTCTCCTCTACGACTTCATTTTCGTTATTTTTTTCCTCGACCACTGTAATATGAAACTTCAGGTAGTTAACACAACCACAATCACCTGCTGAATCTTAGTTCGCACTTAGGAAACATCATTTGAGAGATTAGATAAGGAAAAAGTTATTATAAATTGTTCCTGGAGAGCCACTCAGCAGCTGTTATAGTCCAAAAGATCAAAACCAGGATGAATAAAATGCAAACCCACTGACTCCAGGAAAAGGGTGATACAGGTAAACTTCCTTGGGGTGCGACTCCTATTCACACCTGCTTTGTGACCTTGAAGAAGGAAGTCATTTCATAAGTCTGTGTCTCACTTTATCACTTAAGAGAAGTGGAACATTTACAGACATCAATCTTCTGAACAGCCCCTTGCTAATACTAATACCTAATTCCACAGTGAGGATAAAGAGAAACAAAGCCAATATCCATGGGCAGCCCCAGTCTGCACGCTTTAGTGTGAGTTTGAGTGTGTGTGTGTGTGTGTGTGTGTGTGTGTGTGTGTAGAGGGTGTGTGTTGGAGGAATGTCTGCAGGTAGAGAGAATCTGCTCCCCATGAAGCAGACTATGCCTGTAGTTTTGGTTTTCATTTGAATCCTTCTCCAATTCCTCACCAGGAAGAAGTGGCTTACCCTTGAAGTGTGCCTGGAACCAGTGTCCACATCATGGCACAAGCAGAACAACACAACACATTCAAAGGGACCAAGCTGCTTTGGGCTTTGTCTCATTTAGGTCTATTTTATATACACATGCAGAGACACTTTACTCCTCTTATTTGAAGATTACTTGGATGTCTGCTGTCAGAGCATTATGGTTAAAGAGGAAAAAAAAAAAAAAAGAAAGCCAAGCTCAGTTGCCCTCACCAGATTCCAGGTGATCTAGTCCAGTAAGCCAAAAGACATGACCTGGGAGGTCAAGGGCAAGTTTCACCACAAAATTACCTCAAGGAAAACAAAACAGAAATACTTTTCAGGGGCCTTAAAGCTTATGAAATCAGGGACTCAGATAAAGCTAAAACTCTATATTCATTCCCCCTTTCCTGTGTTACTAATGAAGCAAGAGATGACAGAGTATATCAAAAAAGACATCTGAACACATTGATTAGGCTATTGTGCCAACTCTCTGGGGCTGATACCAACAGCACCATTACGCATAAAACTGAGGAGGGACCACAAGGAAGGTTCTGTTTGCTAACTAATAATATAATGACATCCAAAAACTCACTGCCACCATTAGGGCTCTGTACTGCTCATCTTCCAACCCACCATCTGCTCTAGCCTGCATGGCTAGATTTATCTAGTTAGCACTGAGGCGGTCTGCTCCTTAGTCAGGGTCCCAAGCCTGTTGCCAAAAGGATGACAATCTCCTCCTCCTTCCCTGGATTGACACATGATTCCAATTGGGGACGCAGAACCAAAGGAACAGTGGGAAACTTCACAAGTGTATCCGTCTCGGTTTTCTAACCTTGATGTTGGCACAGCTCTTAGAAAGATAAAAAACTGACGATTTACATCATAAGCATAAAAAGCAGGACGAGAAGCAAAGTAAAGAAATCATAAATATTAAGTAGGACATGAAAATAAATAGGGAAAGAGATGGGATGCTGTGGACTTTGAGACAGCTTTGCAGTTACTATTTTATCCACATAAAAATGCATGGTGGGTATTTTATGAAAGTAGGCTTTTCTATTTGTGTGTTAACCGACAATTCAGTCAAACAGAGCCTATGATGACCCTCAAAACAGACTACCAACATAAAAGGAACATTAAATTGCTTACTCCCATATTAATTTCTACGAGGGGCCAGGAGTGGGGAGGAAAGTATAAGTAAGGTTTTCCTTCTTCTGGAAAGCTTGGCTTTAGGTCCATGAAAAACTGGGCATACAGACAAAAAGCAGTTTGTGGGCCTCAAATCCAAGCCACTTTGTTTGTGTCTGTACTATATTATGATGATTCCAAGTCAATGGCCATCTTGCAAATTCTGTCCCCTCCCCGCAACTCCATCCAATTTCACAACTGCTCCCCCTAACAGCAGTGAGCTTACAGACAGATGTGCAAATTAAAAATGAAAAGAGAATGCTGAAAACTACAACAGAACTTCTCCAACAGCACGCTCTGTTTCAGAAACTGCACGCTTTCACGTCTACCCTAATGAAGGGATGTGGAAGGCGCACAGCGATTTGGTAGCTTCATTTCAGGGAGCGCTGGGTGGTGTGTTTACAATTTCATTTTTATTTCAAAGCTCCAATTAGCAACTTACATTTGCTGCTTGCTGTCTATTAATCTCCACACGGGAATGGAAATGCTCAGTGACCATGGTGAGTGGTCAATGCTGCAGTTTGCTGTGCAGCTTCTCAGGAGGCTGACATTTTGATGAGTTAATTCATATAAGGAGAAATTTCTCCAATGTGTTGCTAGTTTTCTTGGGCCATAGAAAGAAATGCACTAATGACAAGGATAACTCATCCTTTTTGGTCTCAATAATAACATAAGCAAGTAGAGAAAAAGGTGAAGTGAAATGTAGTCCGAGACACTGGCAATCACACACCACTGTAAATTTTTGTTCCACTCGCTGACTTGCCTTACCACAGTGGGTCTCAAGCGCCAGCCTGCCTCAGAATCATCTGGAAGCCTTATTTAAAAAAATGTCAGGGTAAGGACAAAGAATTTGCATTTCTAACAATTTTCCAGGTGTCCCTGATGCTGCTGGTCTGGGGCCATACTTGAAAATTGCTACCTTACCAACAGTCCTGCTCGCACTTTAAAGCAAAACACATGTGAGGAACAATGATGGGGCAGTCAGCTGGGAAGCAGAGAATGGACATAAAGGCTAGAAAGAAAGGCTTTTTCAAATCAAAACGGCTTCAGAGCTTCAGGGGGGCAGCTCCAGGGGGAGAAAAAAACGATGCAAAAGACAGCAGGAAGTCACCATGTTCCAGACTCTGCAATGTAATCTTCTCCTAATTATGATTTCCAAGTGAAAATGCCCTAACAGGGAATGGGAGGGGTTAGAAGTGCTGATGGTGGAGGAGCAGATGGTTCTGCCTTCCTATCAGCTCCATAAATTATAAACAAACACCTTGTACAAAGATCGATTTGTAGCCTGATGCTGGTTGGCCAGATGAAGCCATGGGAGTGATTAGCAGTTGCAGTACTTTTGCAAATGCATTAGACACTATCCAAAGGGGTTTAAACCAGCAGGAAAATTTCCTTTGGGCTATCTCTGAGCCCCTCCTATCTATATATATAAAAGCCTAAGCGACCGGCTGACCGGTAGCTATGATGCACACTGACCACCAGGGGGCAGATGCTCAACACAGGACAGAAAGCACAGGCATGGAAACATGGAACAGAATGATGAATCTCAGAGGGAAGAGGGGAGGGAAAAGGCATGAAGAGATTAATCAAAGATCTTATATGCATACTAGAGGTCCAGTGCGCGGATTTGTGCACCGGTGGGGTCCCTTGGCTTAGCCTGTGGGGATCAGGCTGAAACTGGCTCTCCTTCATCCCCTGAGGGGTCCTGGATTGCGAGAGGGTGCAGGCCAGGCCGAGAGACCCCACCAGTGCATGAATTCGTGCACCGGGCCACTAGTTTCAGAATAAGACCTCCTGCACAGAGAGCGGCAGGTGACACTATAAGCATTCCCCAGTTACTCCATCTCTGTGCTATGATCTGCCCCATGCCACTCAGGGTACCCTAATGACAAATGCTATTTACCCAGTAAGAGTTTCTCTTAAAAAGTGTAATTCCCCTGGCCGAGTGGCTCCGTTGTTTGGAGGGTCAAACTGTACAGCAAAAGGCTGTGGGTTCAATTTCCAGTTAGGGCATATACCTAGGTTATGAGTTTAATGCCCAATTAGGGCACATATAGGAGGCAACAGATTTATGTTTCTTTCCTTTCCCCTCTCTCTAAAAATCAATAAAAATATATCCTTAGGTGAGGATTAAAAGAAAAAACACAAAGTGTAATTCACAGTGAATCTAAGGAGCTCCTTTTTCCCCCCTATGAAAACAGTTTCAAATTTATGCCTTTGAGGTCTTAGTCACAAACTTCTAATCTCTTTACAGTATTCCAACTGAAACAGGTGGCCAGAATCTTCAGCCTAACTTGAGAAATGATCAAAACCGTAACTAGACTTTATTCAGACCAACCAGAAAACACAAAGCAGTTAAAAGCAAATGATGGGAGCCTCAGGTGAAAGTAACTATCATTCTAGGAGTAATACCATGAATAGGAACTTGGCTATCATCAGACCCATGTGCCCTAAACCTCTAGAACGCAGGTTTTTCCTTAGGTCAAAACTCTAAGAAAAATAGGGCTCTTATAAAAAGCAGAATTCTAACACCACACATGATTTAAATGAGGGAGAAAGGTGAGCCAAATTAAATGAATCAACCTAGAGCAACACATGATGCTCTCCGATCAGCTCGGGTATTACAAGACCCATGATCACAAGATGTAACAAGGAACACAGAAGGAGAACGATAGAAAGGTGTAGTTGGAATGCCCTGACGCTTGCACAAAAAATGTTAAAAGCATCCAAAAAGGCCTTGTGAGATATTAGCATCTCCAATACCTTTGATCTTCTGAATATTTTGTTTTTCTCTC